TTCGTAAGAATTTTCTGCGGGCCGATTCATGATAACATCCCGGACTTCTGCCAAGTACTTGGATCCAAGTGCGCCTAGAATGTGGCTAAATTTCACCTCGTCTTGCGTAATACCTGACGCATGGAGAGTTCTTTCGAATACGGCAAAAAAGTACTCGGGGTCGTTGGGATTAAACGCAGGTAACCTCAGGACGGCTCGCTCAGTTGTGGACGGAACCATTATTGGAACTTGAATTTCTGGCGGAAACCTATTTTGCGCTGTTTGCTGTTGCCATTCTTGAATACGACGCTAGAATTCTTGTCGTTTTTGGTAAAGTTTTTGGCGCTGTTCTTCTATAAGCAGCCTTCGGGCTTCTATTTGCTGCACCAATTCGTTATCGGCACGTGTATTAACCATATTTCGAAAAAAACCATTACGGCGTCAACACAACAAAAATAAAGGAAAATAGCGAACCGCGTCGATACACACTTGTGCCTATACACAATATCGCAGGTACACAATCACGTCGGGGTCACCACTGTAGTGTTTTCGGTAGTTTTTGGTATTGCACAAATATGGCTCGATGAATTAAAAGAAAACACTAATATAGAATTGGTCTTTAAGATTTTGATAAACACAACAACAGGAACAACACAATCACAAAACAATAACAACAACAATAACGATAATAACAATATATAGTAAAATTACGAAATAGCTGGGAGAAATGAACTAGAAGAACTCTGAAGAACTAACTAACTTTTGAAATATACAATAAGGGTATTTATAGTTAATAATTGTTGAAGATAGACAAGGAGAAGGGTAGTTTAGAAGAAAGACAGAAGGTGCAAGTACTGACGGTAAAAGTTCTCAGAAGTAAATAGAATGGAATGTTATTGCGGGAGAAACCAGATTGTTAGTAATTATAAGACAGGGTACATGCAGGTATAGGGGTTCCAGGTAATGAAGCATACTCAAGAGTTCGGAATTAAAGTTGAATGTAAAGATTTAGAAAATAAAATTCAAATATTTAGAATATGTACAGATCGCTACAACATACTAGACTATACCACGCATTTCCTGACGAAATACGGGTGTTTCAATGGGTACTTCAGAAAATACAAAACAGTAGATTATGACACGGCAGAACATGTCCTCACATGCCTTGCATGGAAAAAAAATTAGAATGCTCTGACTCACACCTTGGGGAAACCGCTTACAAGTGTCTTTAGCAATGTCTTTAAAGGGAGGTGGCTGGAAATAAGTGCCACAATTGAAGAAGTTATGACGACGAAAGTCATCGAAGGGAGGATGAGAGGGCTGTATAAATCTCCGCACCAAATCATAGAGCGATGTCACTTAGGGCACGTTATATATATTTTAATGTATGGTGTTTTTTTAGATCTACATTGGTTATCTAGTATTCTGAGAGTTTTAAAGTGGGTCAGTGCTATTTTGTGCGCTTGTTGTAATTTATTAACTTATTTATTTATTTGGTTTTACTGACGTCCGTGAGCATAGTTTACACTTTTTATATTTAGACGATTACTGAGAACATTGTTATTGATTAGTGTTGTTATATTTTAAAGGATTATAGTGAGATAAAGTTTGTTAAGCTTTCAATGTTATGCTTCTATTAAACTTAATCTCCCGCGATGCTTCTGCCTAATAATTTGTTGTTTGTTTATACCTATTGTTTATCGATAGTTGTGCTAAATATATAAAAGGGAAAACAGGTGTTTTAATGATAAACCTCCCCTACGTCAAGTGATCCCCTCGTAACTACGATACAGTAGTTGACCATATACCAAGTTCTCTTCCATCTAATACTTTACTATCCATAGAAACAAACATGCAGTATCCAGAAACGATTGTGAACTAACTTCCAAAACTCAAAGTTATAGCATTACAGGAAGCCTATTTCGATCCAATGATAAGGGGAGGTTTCATTACTGATAGGCTCAGAGCAGAATGGGATTTAATAAAGGAATGTTTGCTATAAATGAATATGTTGATTTAGAATACCTGCATTGCAGAAATATGTGTTATAACGGGCCCAATTTATTATGCTTGGATAATCATATTTGATTATTATTATCAATTCCATTTTAGTAAAGAGACAGAACCAAAAATGTTTATTATAATTGAGTTACAAAAGTTATCGCATTTTATTTCTTACAAATTACGCTAATTCTATTATGTTAAAGTTTTAAATTTAATCGTTTTTAAATATATCATTTTTCACCCTTACACAAATATCATTGTATAGCATATTCTTTCACTTCACACTTTTTAATTATATTATTAAATCATCAAATAATTCCTTTGTTAGGAGCTGTCCCGTCATCACATGGGGCATGTAGTCTACCAATTGGGGTGTTAAGGGTATATACTGTAATGTTCGTGGGTTTATCAAAATTAACTTCGAAGATTGATAACGACAAAAACTACTCATTTACACTAATTATTAAGTAACTTAAAAACATTATAAAATTATTACTAAACTTAGATTATGAGTTGTTCTATTCACTTCTGCAACGGTTAATTTATTTCTACTTTCTCACGGCGATCGTTTCTTCCTTTAAATACTCTTTTGTTGCCTTTCGGGAACTTTCCGAAACGGCGGAAAAGTTTCTTTTTCTTTGAACTGTTTAACTGCTTTCCCAGAACGCAGGTACCACACACATATTTACAAATACGGCACACATGATGAAAGGCGCCCGCGGCTAGTTGGCGAATCGATAAGCCACTGACACACACGTATGCCCAATCGCACACAACCACGCTCGTGCTCGCTACAATACGTATCTCAATTGCCGGGCCGGCAGAAGCCTACCGGACTTCACCAGTAGTCGGAGCACGGGAACCTGAACCGTAACGGCGACTGTTTACCGAACATCGTTGCAGACTAAGTTGTATTTAGCATTGTAATTATTATTATGTTTACTCAGATGAGTATAACACCGGAAATTACCCGAAATGCAGCTAGTGTTATTCCGCGATCCATCGTCATTCGAGGACGATAAGGGTATGAAAATCTAACTAGCGCAATTGATAACATTATTTCAGGAAGATGTTGATACTGTTCTCTTTTGAATTTGTTCAATTAGCCGAAATCCGAAGACAAAGAGAGAGCGAAACCTGTTTCTCCATTTACACCAAGGATTGGTGTTTCAACACGTTCACTTCACTGCAGAGTTGGCGTGTATCGAAGACAGTTTTAATGTTACTCTTAACATATAGATCACTCGTATTTGGTACAGTTCAAGGAGGATTCCCAGCTTAAAAAGAATTTGCATCGCCACTGAGGAAAGTTTGAAAAGCACCATTAGCTTGTATCTGGGCAAGAGGGAATCACGGATCCGAGGGTGTAAGGCCACCCAAAGCTTAAATCTGTATCTGCGTAAATCCCACTTTTATTATTTTAGTTTAATTAAAGCAATCATTTAATTAAGAATTTCAAGCGGAACAACAAAAAACTCCCTTAAAAGTAAAAATTCCTAGATGCAAAGTTTCTAATAAATTGATAACTAAACTGAAATATGCTATTACAAATGTCTGTTATTTCAACTTAAAATGCTGAACATAACCATGCAATTGGCCTAGAACTCGATCAGGATATTTTATACAAGAATTCTATGATAGACCAGGACTTCCCTCCATCGACACTCGAATTTTCCAAGTAAATAATAAGTTATTACTGGACCCTCATGTAGGTATGTAAAAACTTTAGATATAAAATTAATCATTGACTGTGGAGCTGTAATTTCAATTTTGAAGCGACTTCATTTTCTTAAAATTTACAAACTAACATTTGAAAATTTTTAAATATTTGAAATAAACAAAACCGCTCACAATTTCGCGCAGTATAAATTTTTGAATGTTCTCAAAACCCCAGAAATTCGACGTGTACAATATAAATTCTCAGTTTGAAGGTATTTCAGGATTAGACATTCTTAGTGGACTGTAAAATCAACATTAAAAATTAGAACGGTTTATATCCATTAGACATATATTTTTTATTTGTCACAGATGAGATTGTAGAAAAGATTATGGTGCAGACAAATATGCATGCTTAGCAACAACTATTAACAAAATGTATATTAGAACTACAAAATCATTACAAAATACCTCCACTCCAAAAACAGTTTGTACATAATCAGTTTATTCCATCCGTGATGGGGAAAATTCCCGTCATTACTTTGATATTTGTAGTTTAACGATAACCATAACTTGCTGAAAAGTAACGATCAATTATATCTAAGAAAGCCTCTTCAAGATATGATGAAATGGAGTGCAAAGGACGTCGTCTTAGAAAAAAGTATTGATAGTGCTTTAGCGTGGTCGCCTTGGGATGCATCAATATGTTAAAGATAAACGCTATAAGTATGATTTCAGATTTTCTGAACATTGTAACATCTACACCATTACAGGATTTACTTAAAACTCAAAAGAAGACTCAACCAAAAATCAAGGCCATTCACATACAGTGGCTTTGAAATTAATGTTTGTGTTGCTAGATAATGGATGAATTCTATATGTTAATAATTATTATTCTAGAATTCCTCTGGCAAAGGAGTTACTAGATCGGAAAAGTTATTTTGCAGTACACTTAGAAAGAATGAAAGATGTCTATCAATAGAAATCATCACCAAGAAGCTGAGGAAAAATCAGATATGTGGATTAGAGGATCAGTATGGTATAAAAATAATACAGGTGCAAGGAAAAAGATCTGTTCTAATGTCATCATGCAAACCTAAACATTGCCACGCTTTATCTCAAAAATCAAACTCTACATCCTCCTAGAGAAACTGCAGTAACAACAGATGTCACCAACAAAAAACGGAAACGATGCCAACCATGTTTGAAAATTAAGGTCACGAAAGTGACCAAATAAACATGTAAGGGATGCGGTTAACATTTATGCTTGCAGGACAGTGCACTCTCAGATGATTATTGGAAAAACGAAGGAAATAAAAGAACGAGGCAATTGTAATCTAAATTCTAAAGCTTTCATGGACCTTGGTTCATAATGATTTTTAATTTTTATTCATTGATAATCTTTAGATAATACTTGAAACTTTTTGACATAAAGTATACAAAAGCATAATTAATTGCTGACTTCCATTCTCAAGAAGTCCCACATCACCATTTTGTCAAAATGATTCGCACTCACTGGGCCGGGAGGCGTGAACTCTAAAATATTCTTAGCCTTCAGTAGTGAGGCACTGAACGTCACAGTTTGTTGGCGGAATATACCATGTGCTGCCTGACGAAACAGTGCAGAATCGGCTTTCGGTCCATCAAACCCGGTTACCTTTAAAATCTCTTTACCGTTAATCACTGCACGAATGCCGGCTTTGACATTAGCAGCAAATCCCAGAGTCAATGTAGCGGTGCCTCCGGTTGATCCACTGTAGTCGAATCTAACTTTCCAGTTGGTAGGTTGCGTATTTTGGGTGATATTGACCATTTTGAGTTGAGCAGGGAAGCCAGGTGTCTTGATCATGGGCATGAAATAACCCCAGTCTTTAGCCGGGTCGCTACTACCTACTGTGAAGTCTGGATCATTAGGAAATGTCTTGGAATAGCTGAGCCATGTCCCAAACTTGCGATACTCTAACAAAATTACCACAATTGGAAATTTATAGCTAAATTAGTTGATACAATAAAATGGCCTATTTGTTTTCACAGTGCTTTTAAAAACACAGGCTATCGTGTTGATATTATGTCTGTAGATGTATGATGTTCACGTACCGAGCAACTATCAAATGTAGATATAATATTCTATGTAGGTATGGTCATAGTTCATTTGGCAAAATTAGTCAGAAAATTTTATGTTCACTGTAGTTTACCAGTTTTTAAGAGGAAGTTCTACTGTGCTGATACACACACGTTTTATTCATTGCCTTCTATTATTTTAAACAATAAAAAATGAAATTTCAATTAGCAGTGCCAAGCAAGTTTGAAATAGATGTTTACACCATTCTGCCTTTAAAATTTATTCATTGACGTTATAAATACACCAAAAAGACAAATAACTTGTATTTTTGTGTGCTAAATTACATGTATTTATAGTACAATGCTACATTTTAGGATTACGTATTATCAACACAACGTTTTCTAAAACGTGCTGTTAAGACAGCAGGTAAAATTGGTCTGTGTTCTGTCGAAACTGTCTGCGAGGCGCTGATGAGATCCAACAAGATCGAAATAGCGATCCGCGTCTGGCAGTTTCGACAGAATATAGACCACTTCGAATTATTTTATTCAATTATGGGAACGTGCCTATCACGTAGTGGTGAGCTATCCATGTATTTAAATGGACCTTGTTGAGAAAACGTAATCCTAAAATGTAGCATTGTACTACAGATGGCGTTTACCGCGCCATTTGTGGTATTTTATAATGTTTTCATGCATGCCAAGTCTTTTCTCACCATCCATTTTTTTCTTTTCTGCCGCAAAATCGACTTTAAAAAACCGAATCATTTTGATGTATATTTCCGTCTTCCCTTACTGTCCCACCTCTTAACCCCACTTTTCCTTGCGCGATACTGCGGTTGGTATGAAAGGCCACGCTTTCCTCAGTACCGAACCACTCCGACATTTCACCTACCCAGACAACAACGAGGGAGTAAGTCAACAACTAACCTGCCTACCCTATAGTAAGTCTAGCTGTGAAAACCGAAAAGGCATTTCCGCCTCACCGCCGTGTCCATTTGTATTTTGACTCTCATACTTTGATCGTTAGTTTTGTTATGTTATATTTTTGCTCTTGGTCGATATTTTTTATTAGGTCTTTTTTGGATATATTTTTCAGGTAAAATTGTAGATTATGTAAATAAATGTGTAAATATTTCAGTGGTGAAGCAACTTGATCAGACAATAAATACGACACACGATAATAACGTACCTTCCAAATTAGGGATAGGTGATGGATAGCCGGGTGGCGATTTAAACTCTCCAGAGTCTCTATCAGGCACACCGATCTGCCAGAGCTGTTTGCCATGACGCTCTTCCTGCCAATTGATAGTGCCTAGATTTGTGTTTTTATTCGATTCCACATTAACGTTAGTTTGAATGTATCTTCCAACCACACCTTTGGCTATCACTTGCAATTTGTAATTGCCTGGTCTTACGGCCGGTATTGAAAATCTACCTAATGGTAATCAAAATAATTTTCAGTATCCTTAAGACATTTTAACAATAACTGATTCAAAATCTGCTTGGTTTATTATGGGAAATTCTTTTTAATGTGCATTAAAGAATTCAATTCATTATATTAAAATAAATAAAATGACATTTAGAATGGCATGGTATAAAAATTAGTTAATTTATCACATCCTACCTAAATCTTAATTAAATATTTCAATTAGAATTCCCGTATAATTTGTAATCATGTAAACATCAAATACTATAATCCCAATTTGAAGTGATTATTAAAAGTAAGAACAATAATTACCATTTGTTGCAGCAACTGTTGAATACATGTAAGTGGCCGTTTCGAACTGGGGATCATCCACATGAGGTTCGGTCAGAATAAGGTAAGCCCACTGTTTATTCGGCGATCCATTCACATTAAGTGTCCCTGACACACTGCCTCTGCCTTGGGCATTGTACTCTGGTGCGGTAACAAACTTGTACGGCCACTTCTTCCCCTCTTCTTTTAATTGTCTCTGAGCGTCAAGATACATTTGCGAAAGACTTTTGCCATCATTGAGATAGAAGCCGATCGGACCGTACACTTTACTCCATCCCTTGGTGGGTACCACATCTGGAGTACCGTAATGCCCCGTGTGTTCACAGAAGAGCAGCATTTGTCCGGTGTGTGTTGTCAGGCTCTGTAACAATGGTTCCATGAGTTGTTTCGAGAAGGGATTAATCGAAACATGTATTGGTGATTATGTATCGGTCAAAACGTTATCAGGATTTAAAAAAACGTATCCGGTCGAAGAACCCCGTCAGGAACGAAATTCCAACTTACGTTTTGTCTTCAACTTCGAAATTAATTCAATTAATAAATATTTATTATGATTTTTGACTAAATAAGAGCTAACCTGTTTGAATGGTCCGCCACTGACCCACTCTTTGTGTGTCTGCAGTACAGATAGTCCGATTCGATCGCCATAAATACCGAACACAGTGTGTAGGTACTCATTATTTGATATTTGCTGATATTTCGAATAAACTGAACCATCTGACAATTTGTAGGTCCAGTCCTGTAACGTCTCAGCCGAGTTTATAGCCTGTTGGGTAGGCATACGGCCCGCTCTTTTTCCGTCCACGCTATAGTACTTGAATGGGTCTGCATTGGCCCTTATTGCCCACCTTAGCTGACTGGCGGTGTAACCATCTCTCAAATACTTGTGAATGGTGTAGTAGTAAAATATGGGTGAATCCTTTTCAAGGACTAAATGAAGCTCGAAGTGAATTGGCCAATTGCTTGTGTTCTTGTTTATGAATGCCAGGTCGATGTATTCAGCCTGGTTAATTTAGAAAATTCCAACTATTATTTTTAAGAATGATTTATTATTGACTTATACAATCGACTTCCAACAAGACGCTTTTAAGAACAATTATTAAATAATTTTTTAAACAACAATGTGAAACCAATATAATTTCTGCCACTACATATTACTTCAGGTTAATGAGGAGGAAGTTTTTGTTGCTACTGTCGTACCCTTGTCGGGAATCGAGCCCGGGTCCCTGGTTTTACGCACCAGTGCTCTGACAACTAAACTACAGTCTATTTCAATTAGTTAGAATTGTGGCCTCGAAGAAATCTGCGCGAAGATAGAAAGAATACACACTAGACGTGAGCAAGACCAAAATAGTTGGAACAAGCTTGAACGAGCAGAGCTCCCGATAGGCGGTCTTAGGAGATCGACTACAACTGTACAGTACTAGACGAAAATGTTTAGCAATTTCTTAAAACAAAAATGTATATAAATTAACAATAGAAAACGAAGTTTTATAGGTGTGTAGAACGTTAAGTTAATTCACTGCAATTTTAGTGGATAAAGTGGTCAATTTTTCCGTACAGTACTGTACGGATTATACGCTCTTCACCGGTTGAATGTTTGGCCGAGGGTTGTCTCCTTCCTTTTCTGGCCTAGTGCTGCTCTTTACTACTTTGCGGTGGTCAAGCTAAAGGTCACATCGCTAGAGAAACTAAACGAAGTATACAAAAGGTGACAGCAGCAACAACGGCGAAACGTATTTACTAGGCCGTGAAAAATAATTTATTATATACCAAGATCACTTAAAACACTTTGAAAAATTTTAATTTATAAGCGGGTAATATTTAATATTTTTTTCATCATCAATCAGTGAAATCAATTTAATTAAGTTTGCTAATAAGTTTATTGTTTTCTATTCTATTGTTCTTTTATCATTCTTTATGTTTATTGTGAGATTGCCGTGATAGCACTATAAGTATTTTGAGCACACATCTTGTCGGAATTAGATATACTTTTATCGAAAGTTAAATCTTGGAAAATAAAAACTGCAGACAATTCAGAAGATTAGTATTAGTAAAAAACTTGGTCCCAATTGAGAAATTGTTGAAATAGAGCATTTTCGAGTATTAAGTTTTCGATAAAGTTTTATCTTACTTTTCTGTCGCGACACTTACATTTTGTCTAATTTTCATTTCTCCCACATCAGGGCCGGTGTTCACGCTCTTACCGTCGACACTAATAACGGCAATGTAATAGCCAGAGCCGCCTCTCAGCAGGTTAGTTGACTTGATACTACTATCACTAGGCGAATTATAATAAAGTGCACTGATCTGTGCCTTTGCTTTGTTAATAGTCAGTGAAAGCTTTTCGTTTTCTAGCACCACATTACTGCCGTCGGTGACACACAAGCGTTGGAACGATCTTGCATTGCATTTTTGGCCTGGGAAATAAATTGGTAAAATCAAAAATTCATGAAAAAATGTAAAATATTTCTTCATAGAGGAGAGTTACATATATCGTACCGCTCACCTAAATCGTACTTCATGCAATTTTCCTTAAAAACAAATACAAAAATGCTATCTAGCGGTATATTTTGATACTAAGTCGAACGTTTTGCGTGTCTGATGTGCGGATAAAAGCTGTGTTTAAAAATCAGGTAAGCTTGATGTAATATTTTGTCAACTTTTGCTAAGCAATAAGCCTTTGAAAATAACACAATTGTTTCTATGTATATGTTTACTACTTCAAATTATAGGTTTAATAACTTATTTTTACATAACCGCCAATTTAAAAAAAAGTGTGCGGTTTCTAAAATCGTACTGGTACGATTTATGCAATTGGCTGGATTTTTATGTCTTATGCAGATACTGCAACTTTTTTGCCTTCAGAAATCATGCCGAAAAGAATTTATTGTTAGTGGACTAAAAAGAACATGAAGAATTCAATTGAGGCATATCGTTCTAATAAATATGGATTTAGTGAGTGTTGTAGGCGGTTCAACATACCAAAACCTACTTTCAAAAAACATCTTGAGGGTACATTAAAAAGATCGATATCGTCAAGAAAAAGGAATGGAAATTTCACAACATTACCTGAAGATCAACTGGTTGAACATATTATCCGTCTAGAATCATCATTTTTTGGTCTCAGCATTAGATATATCAGAAGTTTGGCTTATTAAATAGCGGAAAACAATAATTTGCAACATAAATTCAACCACACAATGCAGCTTGCAGGGAAAAAGTGGTTCTATTGTTAAAGAGACATCCTAATATTTCAGTAAGACAGCCTGAGAATGCTTCTATAAGCCGGGCTAGGGGCTTCAATAGAGAAGCTGTAAATCTATTTTTTGACTTATTGGAAACTCTTGTGAGATCCAATGGGATTGATGCTTCCAGAATCAATAAGGATGAGTCGGGATTCTCTACAATTCAGAAAAAAAAATGTGCGAAAATAATTGCTGAAAAAGGAAAAGAAATAATTGGTAGAGTGGTTAGCAAAGAAAGAGGGACAAACATTACAATGTCAGGCTTATTCATTCCACCTATGTTTGTTATTAAAACAAAAGAATATTTATGTTCTAAATATGCTTAATGTAAAAATGTTGTTAATTGTCAGTTTTTGTAGGCAGTATTTTTTAATGTACCTATAAAAGTCAATAAATATATAACAAGGAGTATATCCAAACCATCTTTTTTACTATAGAGGCATGATACTTACTAGTACAGGCATGATAGCACACGACAATTATAAAGGTACGATTTAGGGGACTATCAAGTACGATTTAGGATACCCGTTTCTAAAATTGTACTTTTTCAATGTTTCCAAAAAGTGTAATTTACATGAATTATAAACATTTTTATTCGCTTGTTATATTATAAAGTGATTAAATAAGCATCATACTATCATTTGAAACAGTTACTTTTACATATAACGTTTCCAGTTTCGTGTTTTATACAGTTTTGCTTAAGTAGCACGATTTTGGCAACTTTCCCCTATGTCTTTTACAGAGGCCGGTTTAGAATGATCGTCAGCTCGTTCATTCCACCAAATACCAATAAGAATCCAATAAAATATAATTTCATAATGAGGGTAATTAGGAATATTTTTGTATATTTTATCTTTAAGAGAAAGTAAGTGAATATTAGTTTTTACTGAGATGTTTGAAGAGTTTAAAGCTTAAACGAACCAAAAATATCAAAGAAGTTGACGGTGCTAACAATTGTACTATTTATAATAATATGAATCGCTTCATTTAAAGCACAGCACTCAGCAGTATAGTTTATGATCACTTTTAGTAACAGGAAGGTTGAAAGAAGGGCCAAAAAGCAGCGGAACCCACAATATTGTTCTCTCTTATTTTAGTACCATCAGTGAAATGCATCAGAATTTATTATTATTTATAAATTTAACAAATATAGTTTCTAGGTTAATAGAATTTTTGGTTCTTTTCCAAATTGGTTATTAACTGTTGGTGTGAAAAATGTGGCTTGACAAGAAATACAGTAAGGATTAAAATTTGAGTGAGAAATTATATTATATATTATACTAGTCACCTCCCTTGCGTTAAATCTTATATATTATTTTACAATCTAGGAATACGTATAACTTGGCTAAACATTAGCTATGCATATAATCCAGTTGCTTAAATTCTGGTCATAATCTTAATAGCATATGAGAAGCTTACCTGCCGAACCATGAATAAGTAGCAGGACCAAACTCGCTATTAGGCACTTGATTGACATTTTCGACTAAATGACAATTGAGCGTTCGATCGTCGATGTATTTATATCTTAGCTGTGAAGATTGATTTATCTGATAGCGAGTTGTTGAAATAAAAACACTTGACATAGTCTGAAAAACGATAATTTGAGATCTTCTTGTTGTCAAGCTGCAGTTGAACGAACTACAGAGGTTTAGAGGTTATAGTGTTTTTAAATTTCGGCAATTTACAAAATCACCAAAGCGTTATTGATACACTTTATCAAACTATAAAATCTCTATCTTTTAAGGGGTTTTATATAAGTTGGTGCCTTCCCTACAACATGTGCGGTGAGAGTTAAACATAAAAGTGTGTGAGAGCAAGAGAGCAAGAAGAAAAGAAAGAAAATTCGATCTATTATTTGTATTATTGTATTTATTCATTTTTTGTAACATCCTTTGTTTTCCTCTTCAGATGTGCTGCAGCATTGTGTATCAATCAGTTGTTTATCTTTGTTTAACTTAATTGTTTTTTTCCGTTCGAAATTGACGAGTATTTATTTTGCAATTTCTCAATTGGTTTTAAATCATCGTTATCAGGACAGCCTGTAACTAATTTAATTTCTGAGGAAATTGAGTGGTCCTCTTTTGTTATTTTATTTATTTTATTTTATTTTATTGAGTATCAACGGACTATTTTTTTGGTAGAAAAATACATAAAGCGTTACACAGATCAGAAATCATGCACAAGCATGTCAGGTGTTAGTGGAAAACTACTCTATTCTTCTTAAACACACTTATACCTTTTCAACATATTAATAAAGTGTGGTTCATGTAAAATTGGTAAAACGCATGGTGGAAGCAGCTTCCGTTCACGCCCGAGGCGATTGAAGTCGTGTATAGAGCGACAAATTTTTCAGATAATACTTGTGGATTGCATATATAGATAGGTAATTGTCTATCCGTGAAAAGTGCCCTTATTTCCTTCTTCGAGAAGAAATTCGTCTGTAATATATTATATACAAACGGAAGATCAGTTACGTTGTGGCTAGATTTAACTGAAGAAATCGTATGGCCCATCGCAGTATCAATGTAATTATGTTAATTAAACGCTATAAGTTTCAATGAACTGACTAAAGGTAATTACTAAGATAGTCTTGATATGGCTTTACACCTCCAACTTTCGATGGTCAGATCTTGTTGTCCTGAAGCAGTTTGAAGCACCGGCAGAGGTAAATGCATAGACTGGTTTGGAAAAAGCAACATCACTAATAATTTTTTTTACGAGGGGAGGCGCTGGATATATCACAAGGAATGGCTGAGTTTCAACAATGACTTCCACCATATTGTCAACCGCCTAAAAGTAAGATACGGCGATAAACATCTACAACAGGTACATCAGATGTAACTGAGAAGTTATAACCAAAGATCTAACGAAACTCTTCAGCAATTCCATGTGGAGCTCCTAGCTACTAGACTTATGTAACTCATGAACGAGTCGTTCACAAGAAACGGCTCACTTCAACTGAGCCGAGTGAAGTAGTTCAGCAATTGAAAGAATTATAGTTTAGTAGTCCACATCTTGTACAGTGAGACACATGTATTTTCAGCTTATCGGGACTAATGGACTCATGTATTTGCAACTTTCATTTGAAAATACATGAGTAAAATCAAATGAAAATAGATGGTATTGAGAAGACGTGAGTTCAAAGTACATAAGTTCTACTGTATTATTGTTCGTTTTGCATACTCTACATTCTGAGAACTGAACTAGACTAGTGAATTAGCTCACTTCATTGAAGAATATTTATTAAACTACGTCAGTGAATTGAACTACAATTCCCCAGTCTACTAGCTACATAGGCTACCCATCAGCCCCTCACGAGTTCATAGATCAACTTGTGGGAACACTCGGTATAGCAAGAAACATTTATGTAGTGTATCAATTAAGCGTCTGCATTTGTGCTGACTTAGTTAGGTCGCGACACACTGCGACTAACTAGGTCAAAGGCAGTTACATACACAAATGTAAAGTGCTAAAATGTTCTTTGCCATTTAAACCCATGTAAATACTCTTGTATAAATACCGTGTAAATATTCAAATAAATCACTCTAACACCAGGCTCGCTATTACTGCATACTGCAACAGTATCAACTCCTGAATACCGCAAGTGTATCAACCATCGGATGCTGTACCACTTCAACCTAACCTAACCTAACCTCTCATCATAGACACAGCAATGTGTCCAACGCTTTTATAAATCGGTTCTTCTCAGAACCGCAACCTGTTAGTCACATCTCTCATTACTACGACAGCGTGTGGCGTGTGGTGATCCCGACGTGATGAACCACAGCCGCAACCTTTTGAGGATGATCTGCCGCCGTCACGCATACTCCACCGGCCAGTCCTCATCAGGACTACAATGGTCACCCTACGGAGCAGCGCAGCCCTGTTCCTCGGCACGCAGCATGTAAGTTAGCGACACCGCCCAGGCCAGCCGCAACGTAACGCCCAACCATGCCACAACACGCCGCCGTTCACCATGTCCCTTGACCGACTAGACGTCAAATTGCCACCCTTCGTGCCATCCGACCCCGAACTCTGGTTTTGTATGGTCGACCGCAGTTTTGAGGCCTGCGGAATTACGTCCGAATCAACAAAATTTGGGTATGTACAAGGCAACCTTGACCCTCACTACGCGGCGGAACTACGTGATATCATTGACAACCCCCCGGCGACTGAACCATATGCCACTATCAGGGCAGCACTCATTCGTCGGCTGGGCATCTCCCAAGAAACACGGATGAAGCGACTCCTCGAGCCAGGAGATTTGGGAGACAGGAAACCCACGGAATATCTGTGCCATCTACGGGTGGCGGTAAGGTCGGTAAGGTAGCTGGATGCTCTGGAACGATCGGAGTTTGTTGGATCTCGATGGACCTCTCGTCGTTGGTGTTGTAGTCGTCCAGGTCGGCAACAACATACGCAGGTTTTAGACGGTTTATTGCTATCTTGACGTTCTTCCCGCGAATACATACCACGAACGTCTTTTCCGCTCGTGATACAACCTTGAATGGACCATCGTACGGTTGCTGGAGTGGTCCTTTTGGCCCGTCATGGCGCACAAACACCTGGCTTGTGGTTGCGAGGTCCTTGAAGATGAACGGTGTCCTCTCGCCGTGCCTGGTGCCGTGTACGGGTTGTAATTGTCGCACGTGTTGCCGCAGTTGTTGTACAAACTGCGATGTGGTGCTAGTTTCGGGCGTTGTTTTAGCTAGAAATTCTCCTGGAAGGCGTAGGGGTTCACCGTATACCATTTCTGCGGCGGTGGATTGCAGATCGTCCTTCCAGGCTGATCGAATCCCTAGCATGACGGTTGGAAGAATTTAAGTCCACTTAGCGGTGCGGTGGCACTTGATCGCTGCCTTCAACTGGCGGTGAAGTCTTTCAACCATCCCGTTCGCTTCTGGATGGTAGGCAGTTGTTCTTAAATGGGTCGTACCTGTTAGAGCGTTCAATTCCCTAAACAGGTGCGACTCAAATTGTCTTCCTTGGTCCGTCGTAATACGTAGCGGAGTCCCAAAACGAGCTATCTAGTGTGCATAAAAATTACGGGCAACTGTAGCGGCCTTTTCATCTTCCATCGGGATAGCCTTTGGCCAGCGGGAGAATCGATCCACGCATGTCAACAGGTAGCGGTAGCCTTCGCAGTAAGGCATTACTTACAATGTCGACATGGACGTGCTCGAATCGGCTGGAAGGCGGTGTGAAGGTCTCTGGTACTGTTGACACATGACGCGTTATCTTAGATTTTTGGCAATCTAGACCGTTTTTCGCCATCTCCCGACATTCCTTTTTTATGAATGGCCAAACATAACGAGCGGATACCAGTTTGGCCGATGCATTGGCTCCTGGGTATGACAAACCATGAATTTTGTCGAACACTGCTAGACGGAATTGGCGGGGAATGAAGGGGCGCGCCGTGGAGGTCGAAACGTCGCAGACCAGTGAGATGTGCGTACCAGGAATTTTTATGAGCTTGAGCTGCAGGTTAGAGTTTTTGTTTTTCTCCAACGCTGCTAGCTCCTTGTCCGCACGTTGTGCATCGGCTAGTTCCTCCATGTCCATGGCTACAGTGACCTCTTCGATCCTTCAAAGGGTGTCGGCGACCACGTTGTCCTCTCCCGGAAGGTGGCGGATGTCCGTAGAGAATTGGCCAATGAAGTCAAGGTAACTAAATTGCCTCGGGGTGCATATGCCATCCTTCTTTCCAAAAGCGTACGTAATTGGCTTATGGTCAGTGTAGATTGTGAACGTCCTGGCTTCCACCATGTGGCGGAAATATTTTACGGCGTCGTAAATAGCCAGGAGTTCCCTGTCGTACGCGGCGTACTTCTTCTCTGCTGACTTAAGCTTTCTAGAAAAGAAGGATAATGGCTGCCAAGATCCGTTGACGAACTGTTGCAGTACCGCTCCTATTGCGAAATTCGTCGCATCACAGAAAATCGCCAGTGGCGCATTGGATACAGGATGTGCCAGGAGTGCGGCGGTTGCCAAACCATCCTTGGTAGCGTCGAAGGCGGCTTTCGCTTCTGGTGTCCATGCCAGCAGTGTCTTGCCCTTGACGTCGCCTTTCAGAAGCTCGTTGAGGGGCGCCTGGAGACTTGCACCCTTGGGGATGAATCTCCTGTAGAAATTGACCATCCCCCAATTTCTTCACACCTGTCTTTGCGACGAGTCAGAATCGCAACAAAGGCAAATTTCTGGGCGACAAATCACCACACCGGACAAGGCGCTGCACAGGGGTATGCACTAAAGGTGATGAATGTTGTTATTAGACAGAGTGCCGGCTCTGATTCCACTATAGTGACAGCAGTTCATACTACTGGGCATTGGGCCAGTACTATCCATATTCTGAGGCTCGCGAACATTGCTGGATTAAGAATGGTTGCCGACCCACCGATTGCACCCCTCCTTAACGTTGCCCTCGCGCCAGACGCCGCATTGCGCTTCTCCTCGATGTCAGCAGGAACTCACAGGTTGGCTGTTGCCTATGAGTCAGCAAAGCGTTTGGTTAGGTCAGCACTGGTGAAAGCTTGTCCGTCACCGGATGACTTCATATCCCTCACTGCCTTCAGGGAATTAATATTAGCCAGTCCTGCGGCGTTCCACATTGGAGCATCTTACCTCACGGGTGCTGCCAGATCTAACTATAATGATACGGACAACGAAGCTGTCCTCGGAAGACTGGGAACTTACATCGTGAAAATTTTCCCCAGATCCACACTGGCGCAGTCGCCCCACCTCCAAATCTCCAAAGTTGAGTCCTATCCCGATTACTCCCCCGAATTTGCGTCAGCACTTGACACATATAGGATTCAATCAGCGACCACATCTGCAAGGGTCGTTACGGAGATGTTTGCGGCAGGATCTTCGATCGATGACGTATCATTGGCAGCACTTAGGGCGGGTTTTCGGTAGGGGGGCAAGCTGGCAGCAATACCGGTAGTGAGGATGGGGATGACCATCATGGTGGAGAAGGAGGTGGTGGGCCACCAGGGGGACCGCCACGAGATCCACTACCGGGACCTTCACAGCTGCCAGACTTGCCCCCCCAGCAGACCTCGGAACAACCTCGCACATCGTTGCAAATTAAAAGCAGAGCATCTTCTACATCTTCTGCTAGCTCAATGTCAACGCGATCTAGCTTACAACGCACCCCTTCTAAGAGTGTCAGGAGAAGGCAATTAAGGGTAAAACCGGATATTAGTATGGGAGTGCATGCAGGTATGGTTGAAGTTGGATTTCCAGGTAAAAGTGATTGAAAGAACAATAGAGTTTAGATTGAAAGGAAACCAAAGTATTTACAAGATAAGAAGTTGAAAAGAATTGAAATAATATTTGAAGTGAAATAATATTCGAAATGAAATATTATTTGAAATGAAATATTATTTGAAATGGAAAAATTAGAAAAAAAATTT